TAAAAAAGCGGTATATGCTTTCTTAGACTCCCTCTGTTAATTATTTAAAGAATTGTACATATTTAATAATAAATAATAATATTATTAAAAAAAAATATTTTTTAGTTTCGATGCGAAGCTGAGAAAGTATTCATTTTACTTTGGTGTGTTTCTTTTTAATTTTTGTTACTTAAAATTGCCATAACTTTTTTAAAAATGACCGAATTAATATAATGTGTTTCTTTATAGATACCTTAGGTATTTAACCACAGGAAAGGTTTCAAAATGGTAACCTTTTCATAAAAAATTTAATTTTTCCATGTAACTTTTGAAAATGTAACGGAAAATCAGACACTTTGTTAAAATTCTAAATTTTGTATTTTATTTTATTTTAAAATACCTGACAAGGGGAGTACAGATTTTCATAAATATTATATAAATAAAAAATTAATAAATCATAGAAAGTTAAACTTATTTAAATTTGTCTGCTTCTTTTAAGTCGAGAAAAATAACACGCTTGGGGTACGAGGTTCTAACACGCGTATAGCAATGATTTTTATGCATTTTTTCTTAATTCTTTTTAAGTTAGTATAAATTTTTAACTTGTTTGATTTTTATCTCATTTAGATTATAAAACTTCAATAAAGATCAAGGATCTCATCACTCTAGTCGCCCCTTGCAAGAAGAAATTTCTTATTCGTATTAAAATTATTTTACTATATTTTAAGTTTTAACTTCGATACAAAGCTGAGAAGATATTTTTTTGTGACTATCATTTATTTTCTCTGCTCTAACTTGACCTACTTTTTTCAACGATACGTCAACATGTTCTCAATAAAGACTATTAAAATCATTAATTTCTAATGTTTTCAAAATATTTATTAACGAATGAAGTTTGATATGATAGATTTCAACTACCAAATTATATCATTTTACTTTGTAATTTAATAATTTTTTTGCTCTATTTGTGTGTGCTACTACTAGACTATAATATTACACATTTTTTTGTAACATGTTGCTATAAAAATGATTTCTAAAAAAAATGATTATTTTTTCTCCTTAATTAACAATTGATTTTTACAAATATAATCAAATTTTATAATTCGGTCAATTTAGTAAATCTTTTTAACAACTTTGTTTTAGTTTAAATAAATCATTAAAATTAATTAAGTTCTGAATATTTTAATTGCAGAATCTTTTCAAAAACACCAAAAGTTACTAGGAAATTATTACTATTAATTCTATTTAAGTTATCTATTACCATATAAATGCAAAAAAAAATTTAGCTTTTCTGATAAATTTACAATAAATAGTAATTATAAAACTTTTTGACTGCATATTGATCTTAACGAAACAATTTTTTTGATTCTCATAAAATTTTCTATTTAATGATGTCAATTTCAAACTTGCCAATTGAGCTAAAAGTTATAGTAAAATAAATTTTTTTTTTTTACTATAAACATTTACAACAATCAACTTTAAACGATCAAACAAATAAGTTAAATATGTCATTTTCCTTATTTTTAACATATTAATAATCAAAATCAGTATTAATTTAAAATATTTTCTTTGTTCTTAATTATTTTTTTTAGATGTAAATACTGTTTTTAATAATATTAAAGCTTAAAAGTGATAGAAATAGTCTAATTGCACATTTGAAAACATTGCTAAATGTTGATATAGAATATTATATTTTTGTTTCTGATGAAAGTTTTTTTTTTGTTCTTAATTATTTTTTTTAGATGTAAATACTTATTTTTTAATAATAAGTAAAAATATTAAAACTTAGAAAATATATAAAAATCTAATTGCTCATTTAAAAACATCGCGAAAAGTTGATTTAGAAAAGTATATTTTTGATTCTGATGAAATTTCCTTGTAGTCCAGTGAATTTATTTATTACATTGTTAGTTATTATAAAATAACTAACAGTTTTCTTGAAAAATATTACATCAAGCCTTTTAAATTGTAATACACGTATAAGTGAAGCAATATACAACTACTTTATTAATTTTTCAATTTCTCCTTATAAATTACAATATTAAATTATAAAATATCATTTTCATTCAAACTTAATATGTATAATTAGTATTTATTCATATATTATAATTTTAAATCAAAGAACTACTAATCAGAATATAAATGGGGAAACAGAAGATCATGTAGCTTCTGGAATAATCTATTAATTTGTTAAAATTAAACATTATCTCTAGATTTGCATCGAAGCGTTTCTAAAGATAGTGATTTTAATCACTGTCAAATTAAACCGATACTTGTCCCAACTATGCTACGTCCATACTGTGCCGCGACCCCACTGTGCTACCGATTTTATTTCTTTTGTAGATATACTGTCCGCTAATGGATACTGTTGTGGAAGTATGTAAAAAAAATATATATTTTTTTTTACTTTATCTTTACTATTATGTTATTCAATAATTGAATATTNATCTTTACTATTATGTTATTCAATAATTGAATATTTACATTATCATATTTAATAAGTTCTTAATTAATATTGCCAAAAACAACACTTAGATTCTTTATTGGAATAAAGAGTTGATAAGGTTTTAACTTACGTTCTTTATTTTGGTCATCGTCTTGAATATCACATGCTATCAAAATATATATAATTTATATTATTTTATCATTCAATAATATATTTAATTAAAGCAGTTTATATTTTATCATATAATTCATATTGTGTTTTGTGTATAACAATGACACAACATATAAAAATAAATTGTTTTATAATAATGATTTCAAATTTGTAACTGTGTACGGTACCTAGAGACATGTCTCATATAATTTTTAATAATATGTTAATATTATATGACAACTATTTTTCAACCTCCCCTATACACTGCTAGCTCACATGGTCGTTAATTACTTTATTCTATGAAACATGTGTTATTCATCGAGAAATATAATAGTTTTATGAAAAAAATACTTTGAAATTTATATATCTAAATATGTAAATCGTATAAGACTAATATATTCTAAAATCATATCAGTGCGTATGATATTTGTTCATAAATGAAAAATTCAACATTTTTGGCGGTAGTTTCCAATATTTTATAACAAAATAAAAAGACTATTTTAGTTAATAACGTGAACTGTATTTTTGCGATATGACATTTCATCTTCGAATTGGTTCGCAGGACTTATCATTAATGTTTAGTTAACTGATTAACATTAAAAGAGGCTTACACCGCACCGCCATTATTCAATAATAATATAAATCTTCAATTCCCAATTTCAACCTATTTCAATAGTCATAAATATAATTTGAAGTTAATGATTCATTTTTTACTTACATATTTCATATTGGTTATCGGCATAGATACCATCTGCTTACAAAACATAAAAAATAATATGTACCAATTAATAGGTTTATCATAAGCGATTCAATTATTCACAACATAAATATAATAATATTTATTTACATATATTTTTATTTTTAATAGCAATTATTCACTTTTTAAAATCATGCTTTATAACTTATAGAAATGTCAGATTTATTTTTTTCAAATGACATCGTACATAATTTATTAGTTTCTTTTTAATAGATAATGATTAAATTCGAAAGTCACTGATAGATAAAAACTTTTGGATCAGTACTACGGATATTATTCTCATATGTAATCTTTGCTGAGTGGGAGAGTAGGACCGAGAAATCACTAATACTAAAAATAGCTGCACTCAAACCACACCTCTCACCAGAATTTTAATTTGTTAATAGATAATGAAATATTGTTCTAAAAGAAGTTATTAACCAGTTATTTTATGAATTAAGTCATTATCATTTAATAAACTAGTAAATTATGTACGTTGCCATTTAAAAAAATAAAGTTGACACTCATATAAGTTTTATATATATATAAATATTTTATTTTTCTATAGGGTACACTTTATGTCATTTGTTTATTTATATGTTGTTCACTTCATTGACACAAGTAAAATATTATAAAAAGTTAGTGATGGGTGGAGAATTGTTGTGCTAAAGCATAAACAGTCGTTAATACCTCTGAATACGATGTGTAAAAAAGATCAGGACACGACTAGTGTCGTAATTATAATAATGATCGGGATCAGATTTAATCAGTTCTTAATTAATATAAACAAAAATTACGCTTGATTTTTTTTTGAAATATAGAGTTCATTAAGTTATAACTTACGTTCTTCATTTTGGTCATTCACAGGGATACTATATCCTTTCAAAATACATAAATATATATATAATACTAT